TATATATATATATATAGTAATTTTATTTCCTGGAGTTGTCACTTCGACGAGGAGCTCGGAGCAAGCTGAAGCAGATAGAGGACGACATCTACAACAAAAAATTTTCTTAGAATTAAATAAAAAGCCATAGGATTTCGAGGTAGCCTGTTTAGTACAACATAAATCCTCAATTTATTTTTAGGCTTTTGTATAGCCAGGTTGTGCAATATAAGCCCTAACTCACTTTAGACTCTGAGGTTGTCATTTGTTATGACATAAACCCTCCAAACTTCCAAGTTATTTGTATGACTGTGTAATTGTAAGCCCTAAATAATAAAATTGGCATAATGAAACATATTGATAGCTTGGAAATTCACCGAGGTTCCCCTCAAGATCCGTGACGTCCCCTAATTTTCTCCTTTTGAATTCTGAGAATAACAATTCCTATTTGATCTTGCCCATTTAAAATTTCTTTGTTTGACCTTGAAAACCCTAAACTTTTAAATTCTTGAGATAATGTCTTCTAATCTAAATTAAGAGTTTTCTTAAGTGACCTCAGTTATTTATGATGTATTTAACTATAGGGGCTTACCGTTAAAGAAAACTTTGGAACCCAACTTAATATGAACGCTGTCTAATCCTGTATATTAGATAAGGGAACTTTTTTAGTCAACATAATGGTTTCACAGAACAAAACAGATGTCATAAATTCTTTAGTTTATTTAATGAAGCCTTACTATTAAGTAATGTGTCTACTCCTTGGGATATATGCATGACTTGTAGTGTTGTACTCGTTAATTTAAACATTTGTCGTGATGAGATTGGTTAGGTATCATACTTTCAATATTTAAAATTTTACTTTTCAAAACCATATATATATATATATATATTAAATATATTTTTAAATTCTAATTTGGCAACCAAAAAGTTTTGGTGACTCCGTTGGGGACATGTTTCTCTCTCCTTTATGATTCAAAAGTTTTGTCTTCATACAATGGTAATGTGTCCATGTCCCTCATGGTCCAGATTACACCTCTTCCATTGGTATGCTTTGCTCATTTCTCTCTTGGGCAAGTAATCCCGATTTTCTATATAGATAGATGTAAAATGCGATGTATGCGATTATATGATTAATTTCCTAATAGTTATTCTTAATTTGCAACGGCGCCAAAAACTTGATCCAAAGCAAAGGTTAGATAAATTTTTC